AGTCTGTCTCGGGGTCAGGTGTTAGGAGAAAGATCGGTAAGCAGCTCCGTTACTGGTAATTAACCTATAGTTAGCAGAGGACAACCTGCAGTTTTCTTTGGACCACAGGGACCATCCAACAAGCAATGGTGAAGATAGATTCAAACTGCGATAAACGTTAAAAAAAAACAGCAGTTACTAAGATGTAAGATGTTTTTCTTGTCAGTACGATTAAAATGAAGGAATTCTAGCAATCCGACAGTAAATTGGTAGGTGGTTCAATGGTTGGACCACTGAGCATGGGTTTGGTGAAGGGACCGCAAGCTGTCTTTAAGTAATGCAAGCAAAAAACACCCACTGAAAGAAAGGAGGAGAATAAGGGCCATTGAAGTTTTAAGATCAGATCCAAATTCAAGTGTACGAATCACAGCAAAGCGATCTGTCCTTTTGTTCGATGGTTTCGTTCTTCCTGCAGAGAGCATATTTTTACTATGGAGCCTACGGTAGGGATGCAGAGGATATGCGGTGTGAAGAGCTGGACCCAAAACTGAAGTCATCCAACGATGGAAGAACGAACCAAGGAACTAGCGCTGCTTTCAGTTGGATTAGAAGTTATCTGTGTAAAATAATCATCTTACTGAATTCCATCAATACAGACTCCAAACAACTCGAATGCTAGGAGGAAGCCAGGTGAAACAAATGATGCAAGAGGTGACCCAACTGTGCTTTTTTTTTAGCTGGATTCTGCTCCTATCATAGATTGTCACGGCAGAGAGAATGTTAGCCTAATTTAACACGTTGGAACCATTAGATTTTAGCAAGGAAATTTCCTTGACGTCTTTAGAGAAATCATGTACTCTGTTCTTTAGAGCTCTTAGCCACACTGCCACAGCTTGCATATGTTTTTAACTAGGTATTTTGAGAAGCTACTGTGGAAACCAAACGAAGAGAGGATTAAAAAAAAATATATCATTCTCATTGATTGTGAAGAAAAAGACGATACCCAGTACTCACAAATCTCATATAACTTTACTGAAAGGAAAATTCTAATACGAAAGGAACATCTAATTAGGGCCTGTTTGGTTCAATAGAGGTTAGGAATAGGATTAGGAATCCTATTTTATTTATGGATTCCAACCTAATCCATAAAAAAATTATAGACAAGTTTTAGTTTTATGGAATCCTATTTTTGTTGCATTCTATGTTTGTTTCACCCAAAGAAAAAAAGAATCTCATTTTTATAGAAATCCTTCAATTCCTAATACCATGTTTGGTTCAAAATAATTTTTTTTAGGGATCAACACTGTAACAACGGCTAGCCCACTGATCATCACAAAATCACTGTAGCAACGGCTTGTTCCATCAACTTTAGAATTCAAAAAAAAAAACACTGTAGCAACGACTATTTCCACCATCTTCAAAATTCAAAGACATAACACTGTAGCAACGGCTAGTTAAAGGTCATAGTGGCTATAAATTCAACTTGATGCCTCAAATTAATCCATGCATTCTCATTTCTCAGCAATTTATAAATTCTCATTGTCTGCAATTTACATCCCAGACATCAATATATGATATCAGAAGAGTGCTACCAAAATTATGAAGTTTATTGCGACTCAATCTCCGAACACCGATGAAAGTGTGCAAGAATGGTAAAAATAAAGAAATGTGTTATTGGGGGTGTGCAAAATTCCCAAATAAAGAATGTAATTTTTTCGAATGGGCTGATGAAAGAGGAGACATAAGCGACCAATGAAGCCAATATGTCAAAGAAAATAGGTACGGAGATAAATATATTTTGCAATCAAAGAGGCTGAAGAAAGAATTAAGACTTGTCGAAAATCAACTTCTAGCTTGAAAAATTTCAGCAATTTTATTAGCAATTTTTTGTATTATTTTAATTATTATAAACTGCATGTCATGTACTAGCAATTTTTTGTATTATTTTAATTATTATAAACTGCATGTCATGTACTTGTACTTGCAAAAACTATTGAGGTTGTAATGAAAACTGTTTTTGTTATTATAAACTGCATGTCATGTACTTGTACTTGCAAAAACTATTGAGGTTGTAATGAAAACTGTTTTTGAAATTGGGTATAAATTCTAATTGATATTGTATGACTCAGTAATAGATCAACTTGTCATAATTGATTGCCCCACCTATAAGTTACATGTTTATTACAGATTGCATTATAAGGATGAATTGCCTTGCCTAGACATTGTCAATTCAATGTAGGCTGCAATCTCATCACCTTTTGCCTCATCTGAATATAATAAACAATGTAAGTTAGATTGTATTCTCAGTAAACGCTAATCATCATCATTGCCAAATATCAACTGCAAGGAGCTACACAAGCTCAAAATAAAACAACAACAAACCCACAGGCAAGGAAAAACAAAACAGCTCCCACATAGCAGCGACTAGCTACACAAGCTCAAAAACAAAACAGTAACAAACCCAAAGACAACAAAGCCACACAAGCTCCAGCGAAAATAGCAACAAACTCAAAGGCAATGAGCTACACAAGCTCCAAACAAAACAGCAACAAACCAAAGTTAGGGAGCTACACAAGCTCCTTAACTCAGCCACAAATCCAAAGTCAATGAGCTACACAAGCTCCAGCGAAAATAGTAACAAACCCAAAGGGAAGGAGCCACACAAGCTCAAAACAGTTTCCTCATATAACCCAAAGGCAATGAGCTACACAAGCGCAGAACAAAATAGCAACAAACCCTGATGTATTAAGGAGCTACACAAGCTCAAAATAACAGCCACAAACCCAAAGGCAATGAGCTACACAAGCTCCAAACAAAATAGCAACAAACCCAAGAGCAAGGAGCTACATAAGCTCCAAACAAAACAGCAGCAAACCCAATTCATAGGAGCTACACAAGCTCAGAACAAAACAGCAACAAACCCAAGCAATTGGAGCTACACAAGCTCCAAATGACAACCACAAACCCAAAGAGCAAGGAGCTACACAAGCTCCAAATAACAGCCAATAACCCACAGTAACCATGTGTGACTTTGGAGCAATAAACCTAAAGTCATAGCCAGCAGGAGGTCCACTGCTTTGAGCTTCAAAACCGACAGCAGTTAACCCAAGCAATAGAATGTAAAAGCCGACATCAGTAAACCCAAGCGACAAACCCATTTACCTGATATCAAAAGCAAAGACAAAATTCAAAGAACTCATTGATCATTCCACGACCATACTTACCTGCATCAAAAGTTAAAATGTACCAATTCATCAATCCCACAACGGCATAGATGTTCTTCATAATAATAATATATATTGCAACATTAATAGTTTGCAATTAACATAACAATATCCATCAAAATATAATCGAAACCCACATTAATAGTTTGCAATTAACATAACAATATCCATCAAAATATAATCGAAACCCAACAAACTAGCTATCCAACCAACATTGGTCGTTAACTAATTTGGTGATGTACCTCTGCTAACCTTCCTTGGATTTTATGAAAAACCTCCTAGATTCACGTTCATTATCATATAAATGGTCTAAAACCCTATCGAGGAACTCCTCAGAATATTCAGACCTATGTTCCTTCAACGCTGCAGCCAACTGCTCAGTCCAGTGAATAATGTGTTGATTTCTCATTGACTAAGACATTGACTCAACAAAGGCACATAGCATTTCCTCTTCACGATTAGATTTTCTGGTTTTCTTGTTAGATGATGAAGTCATGTTGTCTTTACTCATAGTCTTATATCTAGTGGGTTGTGGTTGGTTAACAACATCAGAATGTGGTTGGTTGCAAGCATCAGAATATGGTTCAGTTTCACTCTCCTCTAGAATCTCGCAATCATCATCGGGAATATGTATGGACCTACTAGACCCAATGTTAGCGTACACGGGTATAACAAATTCACCCTTGGCTTGATCATCACCCATGATAACTTGTAAATTTTTGAAGTGAGGAAGGGGTTTGTTTATGTACGCTTTGTACTTAGAATTGCATTTGTCCTGCAATAACAAATACTTATAAGTGGCGAATCAAATGTATTAAATTTTGGTGACAATATAGATGCTGATTTTGTTATACCTGAGCCCAATATTTCAAGGTTTCATCATTCAATGTAATCATTTTACTTGTTTCATCTCACCCAGTACCACTAATATCAAGGCAACCTTCATGTCGTTGAATTTGTTCCTCAAACATTTCAAGTGGTTAATGACATGTAGGTGAGTGAAATCAGTCCTGAATTGCATGTAGATTTTCATGGAAGCTATTTTATAAGCTTCAGCCTTGAAGTTCTTGTCTGGCTTCATGCCATCCAATGCTAAATCTGCAAGATAAGGAATAAACACATCATCGTGCTCTGGAAGCTAAAACTTATTAGCCACGCCTCTTGTGTTCAACCTGGCACCCGGAACTTTTTTCTTAAAAGCTAATTTTCCCCTCTTTTCAATGGCGAAGTGTGCTCCGCACCATCAACGTCATGAATATCATTTCCACCTGAATCACCAGTGTTTGGTAAAAATTGATTAGGTCCACTACTTTGAGAACTGGCTGTGAGAAATAGCAAACCTTCTGGACTGCTTAACAAGCTCATGTATGACATTGGTGGCTGTGTCATCCCACCATAATTACCATCGTATGGTGGAAATGGTGAGAATGTATGAGGAGGTGAAGTGAATGGTTGTGGTCGAACAGGCATGAAGTTCATGTTAATCCCTGATGTAGGATTTGGCATTGCATTCGAATGAGAAGGCACGCTTTGCTTATCTGCCGGATTGTTAGCCATACCTAATATATATTGTAAGCATAGCCATATTAATAATAAAGAAATATAAAACAATATGGGATATGCATGCATTTATCAAGGAATATATGAAACGACGATATTTCTCAAACAACATAACAAAAGAGCAACCGATAAAATTAGTAATGTTTTGGTACAAGCAAAGAAACATTAAACAATATCGATGCGAACAGTATTTTAAAATTTACCAAGTTATTACATAGCCATAAAACAAATAACACACTAAGTTAAACCACTCTCCATTGTGTTACCACCATTATACTTTGCACAATAATCCACCCACATCGCCCAAGCAATTTGATCTCGCATCTCCTTCCATTCATTTCTTACATCTCGATCCTCTCTTTGTGTCCTACTTTGAGTATAATCCACCATATTTGAATCGTCTTCATTTATCTCTTCCTCAGTATCTTCATCAATTTCAACATTTTCATTTAAAATATCATCATCCGGATCCTCCAAGGTAATAAAATTGTGCAACACAGTACACGCTAGTATAATATCCACTTGAGTGGGAAATGGATAATTTGGCTTCACCGTTAGAATTTTAAACCGATTCTTTAATATACCAAATGTGCATTCAATTTTTTATCTTAAAGATGAATACCTTAAATTGAACAACTCTTTCCTATTCTTTAGTGTCCTACCGGTATGCTCTTTTAAATGATATCATACACCGCGATATGGGGATATGAAGCCTGGAATTATAGTGTATCCAGTGTCACATAGGTAATATTTACCTACATTAATTGAACAGTATTTTAAAATCTCAATTATTTTTAAGTATTTAATATATTATTCAACATGTGCATAAGTGAGAATGAATACCATCATAAATTCGGAGCCCGTAAGGCTGTGGTCTCGACAGAGCGTCTTGTAATATCCTATAATCATTTGCTGCTCCCTCCCAGCCAGCTAAGATATAAGTAAATAGTTTATTGGGGGTGCAGGCTGCTAAGATGTTTTGGGTCACCCCTTTTCTCCCTCTAAACCGTGCAACTAGGTCACTAGTTAACACCGCGTCGACGTGTGTGCCATCTATCAAACCAATATAGTCCTATAAAAAATTATAAATTATACATAGTTCAATAAAAAGTAATTTATTAGAAAAATTGTTAAGATGTATGTATTTAATTTACCTTAAAGTAAGGAAAATAATTTGAGTTGCTTGCAATCTCCACGGGAACTTCTTTTGGGGCTTGCTTCATGTACCGATCACGTAATCCATTCATTGCTTGCAGGACTTTATTTAAATACATGCTAACTGTTTCTCCTGTTCTTATGAACTCAGTTCTTATTATTCTATTTTTAGTTTTATGTCCCACAATACTTAGGAACATAGCAAGCTGTTCTTCAACTTGAACGTGTCTTGTATCTTTTAATAAACCGTTTGCTTTCATTACTTTAACAAGTTTAAAAAAGGCCCTCGGTCTCATTCTAATATAAGATCGGTAGTTATCTTGATAGCCCTCCAATACATGTTTGAAGTGAGCCTCTCTACAATATATTTTTCTTATCTTTTCTTACTTCGTACAAGTTGATATTGTCTTGCACTTAGCACGCATTCTCAAAATACATGTGACCAAAGTGACCACAGCAGAAACAGCTATATTATCCCACATCCTCTTTAATTCTTATTCATCTTCCATATCCATTTACATCCGTTTTAAAATTAGCATACATTTACAACTTATCTTGTCTACTTATTTCAGTTGAAAATTAATTAGATAATTGATACAAATATTTATTCCTTGTATCGCAAGAAATCTAATTATACTGAATTTTATTTTAACTAGTGTTGCATTCGATTTTACACAATTATCAATAACAACACATTCTACTACCCGGTTCCTTTCATGTCATGAATTTAACCTCATTCTTTGGTATACATAACCCTATTCTTTTTCATGCATTCATATTCTTTTGTAATAAACACAATTATCAAGAATAACACATTCACACAAATATCATGCATTCTATTTTACACAACTAACTGAAATTTAGTAAATATAACCCTATTCTTTGTTAAAATTCCCAAATAATGAATTATCACACAACTAACTGAAATTTAGTAAACATAACTGAAACTTCCACACAACTAACTGAAATTTAGTAATCATAACTGAAATTTATCACACAACTAACTAAATAGAACAATATCGATGCGAACAATTGTATTCTATTTCACACAACTAACTGAAATTTAGTTTAACATAACCCTATTCTTTGTTAAAATTCCCAAATAATGAATTATCACGAACAAAAAATAGGGGGAAAATTGTATACCTTGAGCTGCAGAGGGGAAAAAATGTCGACGTCCAAGCAACAAACCCACCAAAGCCGGGATCAACACCGTAGCCAACAAACCCACCCGAACCAACACAAGTTCGAGAAGGGATCACCAACAACCAAAGCCAAGGAACCCACCAACAACCAAAGCCAAGGAACCCACCAACAAGAAGTTGGAAAAAAAATTAAAATAATCACGGCTCAACAAGAGGCGGGATCAGATTAGAGGGAGAAGCCAATTCGACATATAAATCTGCAAAAAATCATAGCTCAACCAGAGCTAGGGTTTCGAGTTCCAGACACGACCACGCATAAGCCACGACGAGCGGCGGGAGAAGAGAAGCGAAGAAGAGGCACGAAGAAGAGAGCGCTGTGGCGAGAGAAGAACAACGGGGAAACCACGGATCAACAGATCTAGGGTTTCGTAGATTAGGAATCAGAATAAGAAAGATGAGAGGTGTTAGAAATCTCGCCCAATTCCTCTCAAATAGAACGGATTTGGGTTTCCTGAAATATACACTGTTTGAGCCACTTTATAGATTAGCAATTCTATAAATTTTTTTTGAACCAAACTCAGGATTAGAATTCATTTGGAATCCATTAATTACGAAAACACCACTGTCAGGTCCAAATACCATTCCTATTCCATAAAATTCGTGAAACAAACAGGCCCTTAAAGAAAATCCTAATAGGAAGATGATATATTTAACTTATACATCCCTGACTCGAATATCAAAGGCAATAAATCATCATAATATTAAAGGCAACAAATTATATCTTCTAACACTCCCCCGAGATTAGCAAAGCCAAACTTGCCCTATGAAAAGTTGAATAGTTTGCCTCTTGTGGTAATAAATGGCGACAAGGATGTAGTGGCGAAATTAAAGTGGAGAAAAACAAGCTTCACGAGTGATGTCAAGAAAAAGAAGCTTCGTAAGAAATGATGAGTGGTCAAGAAACAAAGTAAAAAGATTCTTGTGGTCATTTATGAAACCAAGTACCAGAGGCCACTAGCAAAGTAAATGGGTGAGATTATCTTAAGTGTTGAATTTATAACATGTAATATTTTTGTTTTATTCTTTTTTAATCATTAATAATTCCTTCCTTCCATGATGATTCGTTGTCATGTATTGATAAATTTTGAACTGTAAGTACTAGATATATAGGTTGCTCTGAACTTTTACCATCAGCAGGTATTATGTTTTGCAAAAAGATATGTGATACGATGTGTAAGGCTTGACACGTGCGTGAGACATGTCTTGCGCATATGTCACTGCTGTCGCATATCTGTATCTAACTTCCACTGCTATTTTTGGGGACCTGACAGAGAGAAAACTGTCGTTCTGGGATTCCCCACGAACCTCAGCTCTTTTTCCTCGAGCACCTTCATAGGTCTTAGTTGTGCCGTTCATTGTATACAATACTAGCACAGTTTGCTTCCTCCATTGGATCTTTTGCGTTATCATCCTATGCAATAGTGAGAACCTCTTGAACTTTGTTGTCGTTGTCGTGTTCTCCATTGCTTGAAACCCTAATATTCCCTTGAACAGATCTTCACTTGTTTCCTCAAGAGAATCTTAGATTCGATAACCATCATCTCTGATGCCACTTATTAAGGACATTCTTCTCAACCGGAATTGCTATGACATGATCGTAAAAGGTTCACATTAGATCCTGAACTTGAACCTTACAGTTTTATGGAAAATGGTGAGAAATCAAGAATAAACAAACAACATAAAACACAATAAGAGTTATATGGTTCAACAATGTGCCTACGTTCGTGGGAGAAAGGAGAGATTTCTTTATTATTTGAAGAAGAAGATACAATTTTTTCTCTCTCATTCGTCGCTCACAAGTAGTTTCTTGTAAATCCTTAGAATAATAATAATTTTTCACTTGTAAATTCTTCTAAGAATTGTCTCTTTTTCTTTATCTTCTTGATCTTATTGGCTTGACCTTTTGATCTCTTTCTTTTGTCTAGCCTCCTCAAACCATAAATCTATGAAAACACCTCTTCAAATAGGGTAGAATTCGTGGGCCCCAAAAAGATCATAAAACTTTTTCAAACACAGATTCTATAGATCTAGAATCTCACGACCACGTGTAGCCATTTTTTTAATATCCTCGATATAGACATTATATCGGCTGATACGTTCGGCTTGCCACAAAATGATATAATCTCAATATCATTTACCATTTTTCGACAACTTCTGGGTGATATATCTCTAATATAGCCGCTTGATCACCCTTTATGTTGACCGATATGTCTTGTTATATGGCTTGCTGCAAGTAATATAGTTCTACATACTTTCTTTAATGGTTTTAGCAAGCTCTATAGCGTTTTTACACAAAATTCTAGTACGCTCTTTATTCCTTACGTAAGTTTATGTGATTGGTTAGTGATTCCAAATATATGTTATTTAACTTTCTGTATGCTTAGATTCTATTAGTATGTTTAGATTACATTTTAATATTATATTTTAGGATACTATATTATACATGCATATCATCCGATATGACATCTTGATATTAATGACATATCCTGGTATTTGCAATCCACATATGAATATTCGTCGTTCGATGGGAGAAGGGGGTGACATCTTTGTTACTTGAAGAAGAAGATACAATAATTTCTTTTCTCTTGTTCATTTCTCACAAGAGTAACCACTTCGGTTTCTAGTAAATCTCACAAGGATAATAACTTATGTCTTGTAAATCCTCACAAGAATAATCTCATTATCTTCTTTTTTGACATCTTCTAGGTCTTAACAACTTTATTTTTTCATCTGTTCCTTTAGGCCACCCTCCTCAAACCTTAGATTTGAGGAAATACCTCTTTAAATAGGATAGAATTCATTGGTCTCAAAAAGACCATAAAACCTATTCAGAAACGTATCCCGTAGATTTGAAATCTTGAAAGCGTGCGATGAGCGCACATTGTTGTCTCTTCACATCGGAACAGCATGCAATATCAACCTGCGACTGTTCTTTGTTCCGTGACGGTGTAAGAGGACCTCACACTATCTTAAACATTGGCTTCAATTAAAGTCATTTTTCAACTCATACACCTTTTAAAATATCAATGAAAGGAAAACTTTTACAGAAGAAGGAAAATCCTAAAGATGAATATATTATATTTACTTATATGCCTCCAATCTAGACACCTTTAAAGATAATTAGTCATAAAATATCTTTTACAAGCTATGTCTGCGTGTATATAGATATATGCGTTAGATAGAAAATTTTGTTTTTGCTTTTCTATGAGATGCACAACTAAGCTCATTCGAAAACTTGGCGGTGTTTCCTTTTTGTCTACTTTTACCTTTTGAATGTACAACTACTTCCATTAAAATTCTAAAATAAAGGGTCTAAATTCTAAAAGAATATCTCATGCTTTCATTGACTCTCTCTTATTGGATAATCCTAGACAACCAAGCTTAGCTTCTAAAGGAAGAATTGGCTCTGTAATTCTATAAATTTCCGAGGTAAAACTGCACCAGACCAGTAAGAGAGAGAGAGAGAGAGAGAGAGAGAGAGAGAGAGAGAGAGAGAGAGAGAGAGAGAGAGAGAGAGAGAGAGAGAGAGAGAGAGAGATGTAATTGTGAAGTTGGCTGTATTGAAAGCAGAGATGTAATTGTGAAGTTGGCTGTATTGAAAGCCATCCACCGGTGGCTCATATTGAGCCACAAATTGCCAGATCTCTCTGTTGATAACCTCTTGATAAATAGTGGATTATCGATCAAACCGGTTATGGATGTAGGCATCTTGCCGATCACGATTAATCCTTGCCTTTTCTTTGTGAGGTGGTTGCACGTTCGTGTTTGTCTCTATAATTGGTATCAGAGCTACGGTGGTTCTTCCTACTAGAGTCAGAGAAGATGGAGTCGAATTCTAACTCGGATGTCAGGTATTCAAAGGGTACTTCAATCTACGGGATTGAGAA